TATTGTTTATTCTTTCCATAAAATGGGAGTTTCATTTTCTTACCTTTGGATATTTAAAATAAAACAAGGATTTATTTTTCTTTTACTGCTAATAATTTTCAAACTATCTTTAAAAATATTTTTTGATTATAATGTTTACACACTTTTCCTCAACAATACTGGTTAAACATGAGAATTTCAATACCATCATAAAACATCTCATTAAAGAGTCTTTATCTTTTGTCTATTAAACTCTATTTCAATTAATACCATATCCTTTTGAAATCTTTTAAATATTTGTGTTACTTATGACCCTTTGTTTAAACCTTTCCTATTTTTAAATTACTAGACTAGTAAAAAAGTAATACATGAGACATATTTTAAGAACATCAGTAATACTATCCCTTCAAAGTTCTTTCAAATTAGCATTTAATTACAAGGCAAATAAATAAAACAATATTTATCTTTATTGTTTATTTAAATAAAATAGCATAGTAAGGAACCAGAAAATCAGAAAAATATTAAACATTCAAAAATATCCAAAACAAAAAATATGAATTTAAATTTGAAAAAATTAAATTAGTAAATAATATTGTACCATTTAATCCAAAAATAAAAATAAACAATACAACACAATTATTAGACTTAGACTGAAAAAAATAAGAGAACATCGTTCCTGACTTATTAAACGTAAAAAAACATAAAACGCTAGTATGTCTTCTAAACTTAAAAAGGAAACATTGATACAATAATTTTGTTTGTAATTGTTTGGCTTGTCTATTTTGTCATTAACTATTTGCTTGAATGTTTTTTAATTAAATTAACCTAAAATTAAAAGAAATTTATTAAGAACAAAAAGGTTTTTAAATGAGTTTATCTTTATTATATTGATTCAATGGATATTAATTTATTGAAAAGATGTTATCAATTATAAGTAATTAAATATATAATACTATACAATGATAAAGATTGATTAGTAAATAACACCAAAAATAACATCCAGATATAAATTAATGATGTTGTGTTTGATATAAAAGAAGAACCATCTTTATAAATAAAAGGGAGTTAATATCTACAAAGTTTTATAATGAAAAAATATATCTTTCCAAAAATGGTACAAACAAATAAAGGATAGACTTTTGTTTATTATTAGAATGATGATAAAAATCCAAAAGAGAGTATTTGTCTCAACTACTTATTGAGGGTATTTGGATAAATACCTTATTTTTCCCCATTTAATTTGTTAGTATTTCATTAACTCAGTAAGAAGTACAATTCTTGAAATAATTCAACTCATATCATTTTTAAACGTTTATCCCTTGTTCAGAATATACTATTATCAAGTTTATTTTGACACACCATTAATATTATCTGAATAAAAAGAAACAATAACTGTCTTTAGGTTAAATCAACATATATAGAAATAAACACTAATTTTTAAAAAAGAAAT